ACTACAGCCTCACTTCTTGTACTCTGTCTCATCCTTTCTCTTTTCATCCTTTACCTATTCACTCTCTATTCTAAGTAGTGGGAATAGAAAATCTAGGGATGGTCATACACTCCCTTTCTCATCATCTCTATTTGCATCTGTCGCCCATCTACACTCAACTCGAAGAAATGTGTATAGTCAATATAGGGAGTATTATGCTATGGTCAGTGGGTGTCCCTTGTATTACGTCATCATCTACAAAGGCACCTCCTAATACAACCTCCTTGGGGGCACTACACTCCATGTTGCAGTGTGATCTCTTCATCACCAGAAATCATACATCGTCACCACAAAACAGAGTCAATAGCTTCTATACCATCTTGCAGCGGTCTGCTATACTCACCATATCTTCTTGTCGGCTACCGAGGTCCAAACCTCACTATAGTTAGCCCAGAGAGGTCTCACATTCATCATGGAATGCTACCACTAATGGAGGCCCTCACCTCTAACCTTTTGGCACTCTGTTACGCGTTTCAAGATTGCATCTTTTATACATATGTAGGGCTCTGCCCACTTTTCCTTCTTTGGGTTTTTCTTTTCCTTTATTTTTCTTCTTCTCTTCTTTTCTTCCCCTACCTCTTACATCTCTTTTATCTTCTCTCTCTCTCTCTTGTTGTCTGAGCACCCAATCTGTGGGATTGCCTTCTTTTGGATTAGAATAATTGTAATACATTTATTTTAAATGCAGTTAACCTTTTTCTCAAAAAAAAATGAGAAGACACTTGGAGTACAATTTGTAGAGGAATTTTGAACTACCGAACTCTATAAACCAAATTGAATCGTGAACTCTCATTCGATCTCAAAGCGTTGTATTTCATGTATTGCAACTAGTGAATTTTCTTTTTCATAATTGTCAACATCTTTAGCACTAAGAGTTACGGTAACTCAGTTACCTCTTCATGTTCTTCCATTTCCTCCTATTGCAATCTATGAAATAGATCCCGTAGACCTTGTTCTACTAATTTGCTAATACGCACTACTGGGTCTTGTTTGAGTCAATCAAATATTTGATCTAAGCTCTCCATAACTAGATCAGTAGGGATCTCAAAGCACTGATACCAACTGATGCATGGAGAAATAATTAAAATGAAAATAATAATAAAGGTTGAGAGAGTATACCCTCTCTCTGGTTCTACAAGGGAATCCACTCCAAAAGATCTTTTGAAAAGATCAACTTTTTACTTAAGCATCATTCTCAAAGCAATACAAATGTCATTTCTCAAAAACAAAAATTTTTTTTTACTTAAGCATCAATTCTCTGATGTTTACCAATGAAGGGGTATTACCCCTTTAAATACACTTGGAAGAAAGAAAAAAATAAACAAATAAAAAAAACCCAAAAAAAAATTCTGTAAAACTCACTCACATCTCTACCTCCCTATTTTCTCTCACGTGAAGCCTCCATATCTTTTCCTTTTCTCCCTATTTTCTCTCATGTGAATCTCTATCCTTCCCAAAACCTTCCTAAAAGATTAGTTCCTAATCTATTCCACAAAAGCCTCCTAAAAAGAACAACTCGTACTAAATTTAAGATTTATCGTTTTAAAACTAATCAACCCACTTACAACGTCCAAAAAAAAACACAAAAAAAAAATAGCTAATCAACCCAATTGCTACGCTTTCATCAAAATAACTCTCGCACCAAATCCTCCCTCTTAACAACTCGCGCACCAAAATCCTCCCTCCCCCTACTTAATTTATCCTAGGGCACTTCCTATTCCTAAGAAAAATAAACAAAAATAATAATAACACTGAAATTGTGAATTTTCCTTATTTTTTATCTGGTATCAGAGCTTTGAGATTCCTTCTGATCTAGTTATGGAGAGCTTAGATCAAATATTTGATAGACTCAAAGAAGATCTAGTAGAGCATATTAGCAAAGTAGTAGAACAAGTTCTTGCAATCGGAGGAAGAGGAAGAACATGAAGAGGTAACTCCTAGTGCTAAAGATGTTGACAAATTTGAAAAACAAAGTGCACTAGTTGCTATACGTGAAATACAACCTTTTGATATCGAAGGAGAGTTCAAGATTCAGTTTGGTTTTACATAGTTCGGTAGTTCAAAATTCCTCTACAAATTGTACTCCAAGTGTCTTCTCAGTTGGATCCTTAAAAAAGAAAAAAAACTAAGGAGAATGGTGGGACTTCATCGCCAACTTTTGAGAAGGCCTCTAAAAGATTTGAGTTCGATAAGCTCAAGTTCGAGCTTCTTAATGATGCAGATAAAAAATTAGGAAAATTCAAAATTTTAGTAGTATTATTATTTCTGTTCATTTTTCTTAGGAATAGGAAGTGCGCTAGGATAAGTTAAGTGGGAGGAGGGGGATTTTGGTGCGTGAGTATTTAAGTGGGAGGAGGGAGGATTTTAATGCGTGAGTTGTTAAGTGGGAGGATTTGGTGCGTGAGTTATTTTGATGATTGGGTAAAAAGATAAATCTTAAGTTTGGTGTGAGTTGTTCTTTTTAGGAGGCTTTTGTGGAATAGATTAGGAACTAATCTTTTAGGAAAGATTTGGGAAGGATAGAGATTCACTTGAGAGAAAATAGGGAGATAAAGAAGAGATATGGAGGCTTAACGTGAGAGAATATATGGAGGTAAAGATGAATGTGAGTTTTAGAGAGTTTATTTTTTTGGGTTTTTTCTATTTATTTATTTTTTCTTTCTTCGAAGTGTATTTAAAGGGGAGATGCTCCTTCATTGTAAACAACAAAGAATTGGTGATTAAGTAAAAAGTTTATATTGTGAAAAGATCTTTTGGAGTGAATTCTCCTTGCAGACCCAGAGAGAGGATATATTCTCTCAACCTTTATTATTATTTTTATTTAATTATTTCTCCTTGCATAATATCATTGCTACATATTTATTGTGGCCTTGAGTGTATTTCTTCATGTATATTTCTCATGGTGTGGAATAGGAGCTTTCTAAGAGAAAGCTCGTATGAGGTGGTGGTTTTTTAAAGGAATGGATACTTGGAGTTAAAAAAACGTTCAGAGGAAATTTATGGTAACCCTATATAATAATAATACTATTTCTCTAATATTTGTATTCGACTGGCATCTTAAAACTTGCATGAGCAATGAAATTTGATTTTTTTGAATATTTTTATTTCATTTACCTTCCTTTTTTAGTTCCTAAAGAAGAAACATGGTCGATTGGAATCACTTGTAGTTCAGAATTCCTGTAGAGTGCAAATAGCTTTTAGAGATAAAGAGAGATTCTGGTTATACTTGAGGAGAGGAGCACTCATATACCGAATGTATGTGTGTGAGAAAGAGAGGTATTTACTCGAGAGAAGACTATACTAAAGAGAAAAAATAGATTTTGTATAAAGCGGAGAAAACGGGGATTTTAAGGGAGGAAAGTGTTTATCAAAGAAAATATAATATTTTACTGAGAGGGAGCAAGTTGAGAATTTTGCAAAGTGGCTTTGATATACAGTATTCAAATAAGGTTAGTACATGACCATAGTCACAATTATCTTTACTAAAATCTATCTTGACTCTATTAGTTATTTTGGCAACGTTAATTTATTGTGCTAAGTAACTGTCTAATATATCCAAAATTAGTTCTATTAAAGAAAACTCCCGTTTTTTCTATTTTAGGTGCATGTCCCTTTTTACCATTTTTTTCATTCTCTAAATGCCACCAGTTCAGATATTCAAGTTATGAAGTGACAAAGTCATTTTATGAAGATCCGAAATGTGACTCGATATGTGAAGGTCCTTACAGACCTAATAGGCTGTAACGGTCCCATGCAAGTGCATCCTAAGGCTCGGGGCCTTTAATGGACCTAATAGGTCCATAAAATCCTCATGGACCTAATATGGTTGTAAAGCACCTCAAGTTTTCGGGCCACACAGATGTAATAGGTCCGTAAAGGCTATGAGTAGGTCCATCGAAGTCATTTTTCTCATAAAATCGTGGAGAAAAAATGTGCGCTTAATTTTTTTTGAAAATTCCAGGGATATAATCTATAATTTCCCTTCTGATGTTCAGAATCGCTGCCCCTTTCTCTACATATTTTCTCGTATTTATTGAAGTCAAAGACGAAAAATAGAGTAATAAGGTGGAGGAGGGAGGGGGAGAACAAAACCTGGTAGCTACCTCGCAGCGTTCTTATTTTGTTTCAAATTTTGTCGATTTTTTGGGCCTCCTAGTGTTCTCGTTGCTGCTTCGTTTCTTTTTCTGGTGTCTGTGTTGATTTAAGTGTCCTACAACAGGGTTCTCAGTTATGGTGCTAGGGTTTTTCTCCCATATAATGGTTAAATTATTGTGGGGGAACTGTAATAGTCTCATCTGCTATGCCGCATTTTATGTGAAAATTACAAAAATAATAGAAAACCCTAGCTCATCAGCTGCTGCTGCTTCTATTCTTTCTATTTGCAGCAATTTGGGTATATCTGGTTCCAATTTGACTTGGGACGACACAGTCACAATTTCACTTCATGATCTTTTTCCATCTTGTGATTTCTTTTCTTTTTCTTTCCTCTAAAGAATTGGTTCATGCTTCAGTATCATAAGCTGAAAAGAGTGTATATATAAAGTGCATGGATGGTTTTTCTCTTTGGAGTTTATTCTTGTTTTTGATATATGGACTTCTATTCCATATGTGGCCTTCTCTAGTCAGAATTAGCTATAAGCATGCATGAAGTTTATGTCACTGGCAGCATTTTTCCATCATCTTCTTACAAAATTAAACTATACCCAAATCATATACTTATGATGGTACTTTTGTTCTCTTTCTCTATTCCATTGCTTTATTCTTGCACCAATATTGATATTTAGTTCAATATCCTTATCCTTGAGTTCCTCTTTAATTTCTACAAAATATATCTTCCTCTTTGGCTTCTGTCTTCCTCACACTAATTAGAAAGGCTATCATTTAATCTTTTTTCCCGGCCTGTAAATTTTCTGTATGTATTCTGATAAGCTAATGTATATGTTGTCTCCTAATAACTGTAGTACGAAGTCCTTGCAAACGAGACATGACGACAGCTGCTCGACCTACATGGGCACCTGCAAAAGGTGGCCATGAGCAAGGTGGTACTCGCATTTTTGGACCTTCTCAGAAGTACTCATCTAGGGACCTTGCTTCGCACACAACCCTGAAGCCCAGGTAGACATTTTATTTCAGATAACTTTTCTCTTTTATGCTTTCTTTTGAGATATGACTATTATTAGTAATTTATGAATATTTAACATGGTTTAAGATGTGTTTATGATTTTTTTGTGTTTTGAAATTTCTATTTTAGAAATTCATATATTTCTATTGATAAAAAAAAGTGTTTATCCCCATGCTTCAAGTTGAGATCTCGTCACATGTTTGTGGTTTATCTACATGTATTGCCTCAGGGGTACTGCACCTGTGTCGCATTTGATTGAAAGCTTTTGAAGTTTCTTGGTAATTTATCAAACACCAAATAATGCCTTGGGTTGGGTGTCACAGTGGTTGAGCCATATTAATTTTGCTCATGCTATGTGCTAATTGTTTTAGTTGTTATAACTCTTACAAACTAGAGGAGCTAGAAATACATTACCTTTAAGTGCATTAATTGCATAAAACCATCTGAAATGCTTCTTTAAGTTGGTTCGTTAATGTTTGTAATACCAATTCCTTGGTGATGTTTTTCAACCTTGGATTCTTTTAGGCTTGGTTATAATCCGATCTTTAGAGAAATGTTGCTTCTATAATAAACATCTAGTTCTATCATCTGTTATCAATTATGCATCTTGACTTCCTACATATCACATAACAACTTCAAATTACTGAAAGGAGCATTAGAGTTTCTTTGACAAGTAAAAACTAAGAGGGCCAATGAAATCAAGTTTCCCAGGACAGCCAGGAGGTATATCTTAAAAAAAAGACGAGTAATTAGACAGTGAAAGAAGTACTATGAGTAGAATAGGTATGCTACTAAAGATGTCAAGCGCTAGTAATGTTATCCTTCCCACCACAACACCCCCCTAAGGGAGGCAACTCCCTTCCAGCCAAGGCAATCCGCATCCCCATTAGCTTCTTGAAGAATGCAGGTGTAGGAGATGATGCTCTTATTATGTTAACTCATCTTCCAGAGTATTTTGTCTTTCTGCACTTCCATTTGGTGACATTTTATGAATTGCCCTTCCCCAATCATGAGGTTTTCGGACAAATTGAAAGATTGTTAACAAAGCTGTTGTTGCTGCTTTCAGAAGATTTCTGATGTTGATCATCTTTGTGAAGGTTTAAGAGCCCTAATGATGTTGTTCGTATCAAACCATCAGCAAAAAATATCTTTGAATTCCCTCAAGAGCTTCAACAAAGGCTGTGCTTGAGGTAGCCATCTGGTGGTTTATTCCACCCTTAATTTTTCTCCTAGGTTGGTCACCTTCATTGTTGGACTGAGTTGCTAGCTCTGAAGCCAAAACATTAATTCCTGACCTTTCTAATCAGGAAATCCCCATGCTTTTGGCAATCGACATAGTTGACTTTAAGCATCCCATCATGTCTTTCCTTCCAGCCCCTTAAGATGGCTGGGGAGCTCCTCTTTGTAACATACCCACAAACATCCGGTGTCCTCTATCTCTACATCCCTCATAATATTTCTTTTTGTCCTTTCCACCTATGTTCCTTATGCCTTCTTTTCATCCCCTTCATAGATCAGTTGTACCATGATGGTTCTAGATCGCATCCTCTTTTCTTGTTTCTCTGCTTTTCATCTCTCCTTTTTGTGCTTTTGCAGTATATGACTTAGATTTTGTTCATATGCCGTTTTGCATTGGTAGGTAGCTTGTTCTTTTTCTTTGCTTGTCTATTTGCCTTTTGGCATTTATTTTGGCTATGTTTTTATTCATATGCCATTTTTCATTGGTCTGTATTCAAGACTTCAATGCTAGAATGCCATTTACCTGAATGTGGAGAAGATGTTCTATATAATCTAATAAATGTGCAAACCAATCTTTTTTAAAAAAAAACAAAAATACCAATTCCACAAATTTGGTCCTTGGGAACTATTTCAGCATATGGTCACACAAGTTAATTGTTTTCAAAGGGTATAGATGAGGAAACAAACATGGATTTTATTTTGTTTTCTGGAAATGAGACCCCAAGTCAACTAAGTAGTGAGGGCTTGTGGTTTTGAATCGATGTATCAATCATGGAGATCAGACTCTTAGTTGACAAACATTGTTCATCTTCCCATCTTCTGGCATCTTCTTTCCTCCATCTCTGCCAACACCTCCATACCTCCATCTTGCTCTAATGTCTCATTTTTGTACAGAAGCCTATTTTCTGGCCGCAATTTTTTGGATGTGAGATATAGTGGCCTGTTAGTGCCCATTTTGTTCCTTTTGTATGGATCTTCCGACCTATGGGTGGCTGTTCCAAATAGTATGTATTACTTATACATTACTTAATCTAGTCAAATGTTCTCTAAGAGGCCGTTTGGATACCCGGAAGTATATTGTTTGTGAAATACATTGCTCGTAATACATTATTGCGTAATACATTACCTGTAAATGGATTGTTGCTGTTTGGGTAGTATTTAGATGCAACTTGGGAAATACATTGTTATTGTTTGGGTATGTTTGGAAGAAATATAGGAAATGCATTACCAACATTTTACGCCTATAAACTATCATTTCTTTCTTTTTTGTCACATGGAATCACATGTCTTCTAATATGACATTGGTTTCAACATGATAAGTCATTGGAACAATATGATTGGAATAACATGATTTTATTATGATGAGCCTTATTTTTATTTATTTATTTATAGAAGTCTTTCAAATATTTCTCTATATAATTTCAAAGAAATAATAAATTTATGATACTAAAATCAAAATCTCTATGGTATTAAAAAATGGGAAGAAGTTTGATAAGTAAACTAGAAGGTTTGGTAATTGCAGTATAAAATTTTGAGGTATTGGAGGAGACTAAAGAGGTATGTCATTTCAATTGAGATTTTAGTAATCTCTTATGAGAATTATGTTGTGTGAAATTTTTTATTATGATTGTGTTGTGTAATTTATTAGTGATTACTGATTTTTATTTTTATTATTTTTGTTTTTATATGATAATTAATGCCTTCAGATAATAAGGGGAGGAGCTTAAAAAGGGAGGGATCACGTATGCTAGTTATTACAAGAGAGAGCTTACAAGAGATGATTTTTTAATCAGGGATAGGGTAGACTATGAAGAGAGGGCTTACCAGAGATGATTTTTTTAATCAGGATAGGGTAGACAAAAACGAACGTGAAAGATTTTCGAAAATTTTTAATCAAGGATAGGGTAGACAAAAATGAACGTGAAAGTTTTTCGAAAATTTTTAATTAGGGATAGGGATAGGGTAACGAACGTGAAAGATTTCCTAAAATTACCGCGCATAATGGATTTCCTGATTTTGGAGAAATCTGGCGTAATCTATTTCCATTTCTTTGTACCCATATTTCCTTCTAATCTATTGTCACGTAATAGATTTCCAGGTACCCAAACAGGCCCTAAAAGAGAAAAAAAAAACAAAAGAAAAAAAAACCAAAAAAAGAACCTCCTGTTGACAAATGTAATAATTTTGACCTCCTTGGCTCGTTAGCTCAGACATTCTTTCTGCTCAGACATTCATTCTTTCTGTTTCTGAGTATTTCCCAAGGCTATCTTTGTGATGGCAAAATAATTTACTGGCTGACTCATGAGTGGTTTGCTGCTGTGCTACCCCCGCTGGGAGTGCTACTCTTTTTCTGCCCTGCCTTTGGGGAGTAGGATACAGACTTCATTTAAACAAAATGTGGAATGGGGGTGTCATATTCTGAAGTATTATATGGAAAACTACCATATTGATAACTAGATTATATGATTACTCTTTTGGTTCAGGATTATGACTACTGTATAGTTCCTAAAAGGTTGAAGCTATCATTTGAATTATCTGCTGTGCTTAATGGTGTCTTCTCTGGATATTTACAAGGTTATATTTATATGTATTAAAAATTCAGATGTATTCTCTGTCATTTTTAATAATCGGTCTTTGATTACAGAAAAGATGGACAGGATACGCAAGAGGAACTGCAAAAGAGGAACCTTAGGGAGGAGTTGGACGACCGCGAGAGGAGGCATTTTACTTCTAAAGATAAGGCTTATGCTGGTAATGACACTTTTTAAGCATCCTCACAATGTTTTGCCTAATCATTTCTTCTTTTTGAGTTTGAAATATATAGTGGCTTTGGTAGTTCTGTCTTGTTTGCTAAAAAATCCTATTGTGTAAAATAAATCCTATTCAGCTATGGCATCTCGATCTCATATATGAAATTTCTATGCCATTTTGTGCTTTTTTGTTCTGTTTGGAGCTTAGCTTAAAAATATATGGGCTTAATTGCAGAAGATAGAGATCGCAGAAAAGGAGGAAGTGGAGGCCACCTACTATTGGAAGGTGAGGTTCTTTTTTTTCACCCGAGTAGTTTGCAGTGGAATTGGAACTCCTGACACTACATTCCTAATTCACTGCTCTAAACCAGATATATATCATGCACGAGTCTGGCCTAAAAACTCCAACCTGACCCAATCTACAAATCGAATCTAAATAAATATCTAAGAGCTCACTCTCAATTACTTATTGGTGGTTCATTGTCAAGATAACTGCTATCTTACACCATTTGTTTATCACCATTTCAAATACAGGGAGAAGAGATACTGAGGATAGGCTTGTTCCACGTAATGTAGATGCTGACGATTCTGATGTAGATGCTAAAAGTGAAGATGAAGAGTACGCTTCTTGCCACTTAATATTATATGCATATATTTGTGTTACAGTACTGTTAATTTGATGTGGATCTACAATGATTCTAGTGTAGAATTATTTGCCAGAAAGGAAATATCCATCATATTGATTATGTACACATTTGGTGAGCATGCTTAGATGCCTTTTTATGTAGTAGGGCTTTCCACAAGCCAAGCAAGCTAGTTCACAAGCTGGCTTGGCTCTGATCACGCTTGAACAAATGTCTTGCTCGCTGAGGCAAGCCAAGTGAGCCCACTAGCTCAGTCATTACACAACCCAACTGCAGCTTGGACTCAGCTTGGGCTTGCTCGATCAATTCTACAAATACTAAATTTCTTAGGATGTATGTGTCAATTTCATAATCATGCAGTAAGGAGAGAGAGACTTGATATAAATACTAGTTGTTATTTGAGAATCCTAGTCAAGAGTGGAATGGAGATTTCAGATATATACTGTAGCCCTCAAAGTAGGAATCTATGGTATTCTGATGAATTAGATTAAGTCAAAAACTCTATGTTTAATTCAGTTAACAATTAAAAACAAAAAAAAAAATCTATGTTTTAACTTTTTATTTTTGATTTTCAAATAAAAGTAAAAGAAATATGATGTCATAGTTTTTAAATTTTTATGACTTATGAATTTTACTATTTAATTAATTAACAATTTAATTTTAGGGACGTGGAATAATTTTACTTTCATATCCTGGTCTCTAAATAAATAAGTTTTCTTTGCATGTATAAGTAAAAACTAAGTTCTCAAATTATATACTTTTTATTTTTAATCATGAACTTTTTTGGAAGATGGTGACAATATATTTCTAAATTGGATGGAGTACAAAAAGGTTTCTCATGAGAAGTGAGACAAAGTGATGTGGTGTTTTTTTTTTTTATTATTATGGAAAGGGATACAATGAGACCATTTACCTTGTACCAACTATGAGACCATTTGTCTTTGATACAAGGTGATCACAATTAATCTTGACTATTTGATGTGAAATTGGGTGGCTGCATTTATTCCATTAACCAAGCTCAAACTTCAAAAGAAACTTTCTCAAACTTTGTGATACACCCAAGCTATCAGATTTTACATCAGGTGGTTATAAGTAATTGTGACCTTATACCAAAGATAAATTGTCTCATTGCATGCAATGTTTTTTTTTTTTTTTTGCTACTTTTAGATTTTATGTGTAGAGTTACTTTTGTGTTTCCTTAAAGAGATTTAAGGGGCAAAATAGCAAGTTCTTTTATGGGAGTTATAGTTAGGATATATTTTGTTAAAGATTGTAGATTAAGGGAATCCTAGTTTTAAGGTATTTAGTTGGAGATTTTCTTAAGAAGATATGTATGGGATTTGAAACAAAGAGAGAGAAGGAGAGGGAAAAAAGGTAGAGGAGAGATAGAATTAGTTTTCTATTTTATTTGATTTTTTATTATTATTAAAGGGAAGGGGTCCCTTCTTTGTAAAAAAAAGAGATGTGAATTGAGTAAAGAAAGAGTTCTCTTTGATCTTGTGAAGAGATCTTTGGGGTGGACTCCCTTGCAGACCTTGAGAGGGTATAATTTCTCATCTATTTATTTTTATTGTTATTTCCTGGTTTGTTAATTTTCTCCCAGCATCACAAAGGCAGCCCACAAAACCAGGTGCTCTTGTACAAATAATATTTTGTATGAGTAAGAAGGATCAAAAGGAGGACAGGAGGAAAGAAAGAGGGAAAGAGAAAAAGAAGGGGGGATGGGGGGAAGAGGGTAAGAAAGATGGGAATAGAAGAGGAGAAGATAAGTAATAGACCGGAAGGTTTTAAGGTAGGAAAAAAACGAGGGAGGAGAGATTAAGAGGGCAGGAAAGAAGAAGAAAGAGTGGCTGCGGTCACCATCGAGGAGGCAGCCGCCCTTTTTGGTTACTCTCTACAAAATATACATGTAGACAGAGATGTTGACAAAGTGAAGAGAGAAGGCATCATGTCGGGAGCTCTTGTGCTCACACTCGCATTTGGACTATAAACCATGGAGTTTATATTTCGTATGAGTAAGAAAGCTCAAAAGGAGAAGAGAAAAGAAAGAGGGGGAGAGAAAAAGTGAGGGGGGTTAGGGGGGAGGGGCAAGAGGGTAAGAAAGATGGGAATAGAGGAGGAGAAAATAATAGCTTGGAGGG